TCTCACCTCTTATCGTACCAGAAAAGCTGAAAATCCTCACAAAACTAGTCATCCCACATCTTCTTTAATTTCGGAAGCTGCTGTTATAGTTTTATTTTCAAGAACGTAACCCCCCCGACCCCGAGAGAGAAAAATGGAAGATCTGGGGTTGAGCCTCAGCTTAAGCTTTCCACAGAACAGGACTGTTACTAATCTCATTCGCAAAACTTCTTGGACTGATAATTCATTTCCTTCCTCAGGTTTGTTAATTAGCTCTTCCTCATCTATAATGCTAGCTTTTCTTCATATTATAAACTTCAGATCTGATCGATCAAAATCTTTACCAAAAGTGAAGGGAATTTCTTTTATTAATAAAATGACCTTTTTGATCCAAAAATGTGGAACTTCATTTCTCTAATTAATTTTTCTAATGGGTAAATATTGATTGCAGATCGGAACTCGGAGACATGCAGAGTGGAAACGAAGACTTTCCTAAAGGGAATCGACGTGAACCGGCTGCCGGAAACGGCGGACGCGGAGGAGGAAGCCGGCGTATCGTCTCCGAACAGCACAATTTCAAGCGTGAGTGGTAATAAGCGAAACGACAGAGAAGCCAACTGTGAGGAGCATGACATGGAAAGGGCTTGCTCTCGAGGAATCAGCGACGAAGAGGACGGAGAAACTTGTAGAAAAAAACTCCGTTTAACTAAAGAACAGTCCGCCGTTCTTGAAGAAAACTTCAAAGAGCACAGCACCCTCAATCCTGTAAGTTAACTAATTAATTAGATCATCATTATTAGATACAAACACAATGAGTTCAAGGGCGATTTCGAGGATTTTAATTATTGTACCTAACTGGTATATATTGATGATGATTTTCTTTTTGTGCAGAAGCAAAAGCTGGCTTTGGCAAAGAGACTGGGATTGAGGGCACGGCAAGTGGAAGTGTGGTTCCAGAACAGAAGAGCTAGGTGAGATTTAATAGCCGTTCAACTCATCTCATAAACTAAAAATAGTGTGCGGACATAAAATATATGTATAACATGAAATTGTGTATAATTTATGTATACGATCTGAAAAAAGTAAACGTTAAATTTTGCCGGTATTTATGTGGCAATCTTTACATAAATAACCGGTCTAATTTATACACAATTATAAATATATTATATATTGAATATATATGTTATATATTCGTTCGTCTATTTTAAGTTTAAGTGCTCTGCTAACGTTGTTTAAGTTAATTCTTATAGGATAAATATATTATATATTGAATATACATGTGTTATACAGAAGTTAGACTATTTTAAGTTTAAGTGCTTGGTTAACGTTGTTTAAGTTAATTCTTATAGGATTTTTCTGCTCTACTTTAAGAATGATGTAGACAATGATATCATTATATATATATATAT